GAATTACGGAGCCACGGACTGTGCGCGTCCTTTCTCTCTTTCTCTTTCTTTCTCTCTTTCTCTCTCTCCCCCTCTCTCACACACATACATTAACAGGTTCTACACCAATATACATCTTGGGAGATGAGTCTGAAGCTGTCAGAACTTATCCCACAGAGGTATGTGCAGAGGAGATACCGAAATGGAATATCGACATCGGATCTTACCAGCCAGCTTCCACCAGCAAACCAGCAAGAACACCGCCTCTTCACGTGATAAAAACATACACTGCACTTACAGGACTAATAACTATATACGCAGCCGGAATACCAGCAGTATACGCTCCCGGAATCAACAGTTAAGCAATCAATCACACAAGGGGAATATTTCCAGAATTTATGTAGGGTTAGTTTCCGTTTTCAATATGTTGTGTATGTTGTGTCTGAGGAGCAGAGCAGATTCGTTACAAAAGATTGAATTTAATTTCTATAATCTTCAACACACGTTACACTAACAACAATAAAATGGTGTTTTTATCCTAACGGATACAAAATCCCTAATGAAAATAAGAATTTTATTATTATTCTCCGACTATTCTCGCCCACGTACGAGCATTCCGCCGGGCTTCAATTTAGCAAAATTTAATGCGCTGTAAATATGCATAAGTGTTGTATATTTTCCGCCGTTTGAAATAATGTTAATAACTGATCACGACAGGCCCTCGGAACCGGAATACGTTAAGTATTACATCATGGATTTACACCAACTAGTTTTCCTGCAACTAAGCTGTCATTATAATGGATAAGGTATGCTGTCTGGTACGCTATCACTGCATCCTTTTTCCATTTCATTTTGAAGTTAGTACCTCGTTTCCGTGATTAAAATTCCAATAATGTTGTTAACATTTATTGTAACAGTTTTCCTTTAGATATTTCATAAAATCGTCATCACATTTGAGCTTCCCACGATCACTTACCGTTATCAACATCATCATCATCATCGTTACCCAGAATTTATGTAATTCTCAGCTTGCAAAATTCACAATCTATCTCTAATCATTTTTAATGATAAAGAAGCAAGTGCTAGTGTATTGCATAAAGAGTGCCTTGCCAAGCTTAACGGTGATCGATTATGCATTTTGTTCCTTTCTGATTGTTTCTCATTGGTAAATACAAATACAACACTTTCGTTTGAGTGCATTCCAGAAAAACGTTTCTGAGACGATCTACTGATATTTTCTTCTTGATTGATTGTTCTTACTCTTCTTTGCTTACTCTTCTTACCACTTTGTCTTCGATTTCACTTGGAGCCACTGAATCTGTTAGTATTTTTGAAAACTCTCACAAACAGCACTGTGTAAGGTGTACTTTCGTACAGTGAGTAAAAACAAAATATTTCCAACACATATGATTTAGTTGTACATTGCTGCAGAAAAAAAATTCATTGTAAACAGATAAACGTTTTCCGCGTTTTCTAATTATGTTTAATGTGTATTGTTTCTTTTAAACTCTAGGCTAGCAGCTTCGTTCAATTATTTATAGTCAAATCAGGTTGAACTGAGCTTATTACTTAATTTGGCAAGAAATGAAATAAGATTTTTTTAAAATTCTAATTTATTTAAACAAAGCGAATTTCTCATTAAAAACTATGAAGAACTAGACAGTATGCCCACAGAGATAGATGTTATAACAAATAGAGCTTTTTATTAATAGTTTTATCATGTGACTGACTCAGTCACGGAGCTGACAAATACATTATTAAACAGCAAACGTTTTATTTTCATAAGAAATTTTCACTTGCATTTGAAACAGTCAAAATTATTCAACTGTACTGACACTCAGGAAAAACAATACAACAATAAGATGGGTTTTTCGTTTTAGTCTTAGTTCAGACAGTCTTTACAATTAAGTTTATTAGCAAGCTGTAATACCCTGTGAAACCTCTGACATTACATAACATGACAGTAACACATTTTGTGCAGTGCTCATCATTCTGGCGTTCATTATTAGGGACCTCAATGAAGTTCTTATTTCTTACCCATATAAAAGTATTAGTCATTATTCCTTTCTTCTGAACCATCTTCTCAACTGTTTGCCCTAAATGCATACGCCCCATCAAATTCGGTGCAGACCAAACACCGTTTGTTTTACACCGGCTTCTTCCTCCGACTTAAGCACAGATATAAAGCAAATAAGCACAGATTTAGAAGATTCTAGCCATCGTAATTCACGAATGTGCCCTGGCCAGGAGCGTGCCATGTCTATGCAAACGCGGTTAAATCAACACCTATCATTAGGAATACCAAAAAGTTTTCGCTTATTCCTGGGCTAATTGGAATACTAACAAATACGCGGCACAGGACTGACGCCAATTAACAAGTTCCACTATTTAAGAAAGCATATTCTTTTCTCAAGCAAAAGCATATGATTTTAAATAGTGTTTTTTCAATGAAATTTAAACTATATTTGAACCAAACTAGATATCGGCGAATATAAAGGCAACGCCTTATAGATAGAACGTACTGCGATTGGAAGGTCTCAAATTCGTTCTCAGCAAAATACTAGAAATTTACTTGGTGTCTTTATCACTTGTGGAGCAACTGCCGCAATCTCTCTCGTATGTCGACTGGTGACCTTTTTTTACGTCATCACTGTGATCGATCGACAGTTGTGCGAATGTCGGAGCAGCACATTAGACCCAGCGCGATCCTTCCTTCCCTCCCCTGGCTTCATTCCCATCATTACAGCTTAGCGAAGGGTCGATCGCCCGCCTCCTAAGGCCAATCCACGAAGGATCTCTGGGCCCATGGTGCGCGTCCGACATTAATTCATCTGTGATGACATAAGCAACAGAAACCATTTATCAGAGCACTCGAGATACGAGTGAGATTCCGAAAATCTCCGACAAACGTCTAACAGTGACCTGTTGAGAGTCCTACTAAATGTGTATCGGGATGAGAAAAACTTCGTAAATAACAATAACAATAATAATTTTAATAATAATTTATTCTCGCCTTCATTTCAGCCATCATTCACCAGAAAATATTCATATTTTGCTAATAAACAACTTAAAATGAAAGTGAAATGAGAGCACACCCAGAATTGACAATTTTTTATTAATATTTATTTATACTATATCTATAACTAAAGGTTATTTAAATGTCACATTACGAAAACGTCAGGTCGACTGATGTTTTCGCTATGGCTCTGGCAAAATGTTTTGGTAATAGTGGAAGAAATATCGAACATCTAAAATTGATAAATACATATTGTAAACAAATTTAAAATCATAATTGTTGAAAATCACAGATCAGTCTTTGAGTTTACTCTAGTGGATCGCATCGGCTAAATCGAACTCGCTCGAAAACCTCTCCTGACCAACACCACTGCGCGCCTCAATGACCGTCAGTCGGAATTCAATTATAGCTCTCCGCAAATGCCATAAATACTCATACAATTGGATATTGGCTTTCCAGAAATAACCATTCATTCACGAAATATCAATCAAGTATCAATAATATGGGTTTCCTTCAGTTTTTCGAAAACCAAAATCTGGCTGTCCCGACGACCACAGCCCCGCCCTGCAAGCGACCATCGGAATAGGAAGCGGTAAATACAAGCGGTATCAATATCCTCCAAAGGATAATGAGTGGTATTTCCAAGGTAAGAAAGGCGTGGACAATTGACCACAAAACTCCTGGGCGATGTAAATAAAAAGAAGTTCCCGCCGCCCATCCGCTACCTGTCGCCCTCCCCTGGGCGGAAAGCTTTATCGCCCTTCGGGGCCCCACCCTGCACACCTGGCTATCTTCTTGTGGTAGAGCAATAGGGATTTTCTCTGCGTGATATCTTGTGGGTTTGGAAAGGAGTTAGATATTCACGTTGTTGATTTACAGCAAAGTACGTCAGATGTCCTCAATTGCAAAGCACTAAAATCGACACCTAGCCAAGTTATTCGAAGATTTCAGTCCAAAGTATTAAGAAGCATTGCCAATGCCCCCTGGTATGATAGAAATGATGTACTTCACTATGATTTTAATATGCTGACAGATAACGAAGAAATAAAAAAATATAGTTGTAGATATATTAAAAAAGTAGGCAACTATTCAAATACTTCAAAAATTTGTATTATAAGTTTGGAAATAAGAAATCTTAAAAAATTCACACCTTTAAATTTGCCTCACAGATTTTCAAGTGTAGTTATATCAAATGTAATCAACTGTATTAATGTAGAGATACTTATTAGTATCTTCTTCAATCAATGCTAATTATCTTGTCAACAAATTTACTTATTGCTCACATGTATGAACAGATTGTAAATAAACGTTTAATAAGAAGAGTAGGCCTAATCTGTTCAAATGAGTGTCAATCACCTGAAATTACATCACATACAACGTATGGACAGTGTTTTTCTGTTGAAAATTCGTCGTTTTCCGGAGTAATTCATACACGCTGCGAGAGAGTTTCTTTCCGCTAAGCCGACTCGCCTTTGCCTCAGAAGTCTGTCATCAGATGAAAGGCTTTGCCTATAAAAATCTTAGTTTTAATACGAAGTAAATAATACATAGAATATTGAAATACAAGGATTTTTACAACAAAGAAATAATAATTTTTGTGGTTTGTTGCATAATTACATTAACTTTTATAGATATTATAGTGTTGTTTGTGAGCCTAAATAAGCAACAAACTATTTAATTTTCCAAAAGAAACAACTGTTTTTAACGATTAAAAAATAATTTTCTTGCTTACTAGCTGCAAAAACAAATAAGAACACACTGTGAATATTCTATTTTTACTAACAAAAAGTCGTCGTATTTTGTAATATTAAAACAAATGATCCAAACAATCAGATAAATAGCTTAATATTTACAAGAAACAAAAACAAGTTTCCAGTAAAAGAATCGGCAAAATACAATGGTTACTATTAAATACACGAGAAAGTGTGTACGAAATCCAAATGCTAATAAATCGAAGCCAAGAAATATCCACTTCTGTCCCAAAGTTTATTAGTCTCTCCTTTAGTAAGTTGATATTTCTTAATTTTGAGAAACTGCAATTTCATCGGGATCAAAAAGTTGGGTCAAAAGTAACAATAAAGAATAACAATTAATGAGAATATATTATTCAAGACACTTTATTAAGTAATAATTACGGTATAAAGCAAATAAAATGTCTGTCGTTATAGAATTATACAGAGACAAAACATACAAAACATAAAATATTTGAGTACAAGTGTACTGAGTATTGAGTACAAGAATTTTATACGTCAGGTATAGCAAATGTTTTACAAAATATTCAGCAATACTCATTTCCAAAATCTAGTAACAATTAAAAATGCAGCCACGACGAGCAATGAAAAAACTGTAGATGAAAATAAATGCTTAAGAAATATTACTGTCCCACCGTCAAATATTGTGGTTGAAAGAAGTGAGTAATTAAGACAACTGGTACTGTGATAAAATAAGAAAGGTAATGGCAGAGAAAGGCTCTCAATTGTCGTGGCTACCTCAGACGTTTCAGGACGACGAATCACAGTCTAAGCAACTCGCGGACAGTGTCGGACTGCGCGTAATCGAAAGGCAGAGCGTTTTTCCGCTCTCCACTCCAGCACTTGGCGTCTTTCCTGGCACCGGCCTCTAGGAGCAACTCCACCACTTGTACATGATCGTATCCGGCAGCCACATGCAACGTAGTCACCCCCTGTTCGTCTCGAGCGTTCACGTTTCCTCCAAAGCCTAAAAGCACTTTCAGGCAGCGACCAGTGCAGTCGTAGATGGCAGCAAAGTGCATGGCGGCAGCTCCGCGACTGTCCACGACGCTTATGTCGGCGCCTTTGTCTATCAGAAGCGAAACAACGGCCGTGTTCGGTGTGAGATTGCACAGTGCCCGAAGTAACGGGGTAAACCCGTCCTTGTCTGTGTAATTCACGTCAGCTCCGGAGTCCACGAGTTCCCGGATATCTTTCAATCGTCCGTCGTAAGCCGCCAGACACAAGTCTTCTCCGAGTGGAGAAGGGGAAGCTCGGGCAAGCTCCCTCTTCATCTTCACAGTCTGCACCAGCACTTTCATCTTCCGCTGCTCCAATATATCTCCAGTGTTCGCTTCTTCTGCATCTCCCGTGTTCATCATCGTCGGTGGCGTCAACACGCGAGCTGAGAACAGGCGGGACGGCGAGCCGGACACAGGAGCAAACCCCATCTTCAGCGGCAAGGGCTTCTCCAGACTCCTAAACGCTGACTCGCGCGGAAAAGATTCGTTCAGCACCCTTTGAGAAGGCATCTCAAGAATATTCAAGCGCCTTTCAAGCATCTGCAAATCGCTCTGCTGAGCGTAGGAGCTTTCTCTGTCCGAGAAGTAAAGCAGTTGCTCGACCGCGGTGGAAGCTTTTTTCTCCAGCCTCTCCAACCGCTGCTCCAAGACATCGCTGCGGTCGGCCGTGGACTCCAGCTTCCGTTCGATGCCCATAATGACCTGCTGGAGCCTGGCGCGATCTGCGTCCTCGCGTTTGGCCTGGGCCTTGCGGGCCCTCTGCTCGGCCCTTTCCTCCAGCCGATGGCGAAGCGCCTCCGCGATCACGATCGCCGCCTGCAGCAAGGCCCCCTCCATGGCGTCTCGCTCGCCGGCGCTGGCCTCGCCGATTGCTTCACGCACAGACATGGCCCTCGAAAAGTTCTGGAAAAACGCGAAGGAAAACCGGATTAGATAAAGCCCGTTTTAACTTTGTCCATGCAAAATCTGGATGGCTTTCCGTGCAATATCTGCATAGTTTCCGTGCACTACCTGCATAGTTTCCATGCACAACCTGCATAGTTTTTATTTTAAAATAAATGATATAGCGATGAAATGATACATAAGTGTTACTGTGTTAACTAATTGCATAGCCGAGGTTTACGAATGTTATATTACTACACTTTTCCATTGTCCAAAGTTCTCAATTTTAATTCCCCATCGCCAGTGGATGTGTTCAAGAAGAAACTAACGGCATGCTGCCTGGGTAAATTTAAATTGGACATTTAAGTATAATACTCAAAAAATACACGAAGGTGTATACAGGAACTGGCTGAAATGCCAGCTTTCCCCATTTTTATAAAACTGACTTTAATTATTGAAGGTCTTCTTTTGAACTACAGTTGTATTTGTGCTTTGTACCTGTAACCTGTCTTTGCATGGGATATACTGAATATATTGAAGTAATATAATTTTGAGAGATTATTTAAGATCCTTTAATTAAATAAAAGCCTCGGCAATATTTAAAAAATGTTAGTTTCGCTTTGAATGTGGATTTATATTAGAAATACTTGTGCAAGGCAAGTCGCGAATATACCGAAAGAAATGCAAATTAAAAAGCAGACTCGATCAACCAAAATACTCTAGGACATCCAATTTCGTTACTCTGTCCAGATCGATTGGCATTACAGCGCATCGATTGTTATTAGAAAGAAAGTGGCCAGTTGTTAAGCGAAGAGCGCGGTGTGATTAACGTAAGAAGCCTGGTCGAATTAACGCTGTAACGCAACTGACAATTTACCAATGACATGAGGGCACATTCCCGGAAACACATTTATCACTTTCTCTATTTCACGCGATCTGACGCTTAAGGAACGTCCTTGTAGCGCTTGTACATAGTCCGTTCTGTGCTTAAGCGCGCCCAAAGGTGACTGGAGGGCCAAGATACACGGCGATAGCAGCTAATTGAACATGCGTGAGGGGAAATGGCTCGACCGAGGCAACGACGAAGTGCATGTTCCCTGAGCTAAACGCCAAAATGCATGCAAAACGTAACTTAACAACATTGTCAATATGTGAAAAGATTTAAAGTGTTGTATGGGGGAGTAACGAACCCACTGGTGCGAGATGTTTCACTAATTGAAATGACGGCAAAGAATAGATTTAACACAAAATTTTAAAGTAGCATTGACCGGTGAGGTCATTAGCAAATAAAATATGTTACACTGAAAATAACATTACAGGCAATAACAATGCTAAAGGAATACAGTTTGTAACAAAAAATAAATTTTTTTTTTGCAAGAGAATAGCTTTGGATGGCTCTATCTTATAGTCAATGGTTGACAAACACTGGTTTGTACATGGTTGACAAACCCTTTTGACCAAAGGGTGATAAGTGCATTATTGTTATTTATTAATAATATTGCTGTGACAATTTAACTCGGGACGCTGAAGTTACGCCAAAAGGTGATCTTGCACGAAAGGCTTGCGAAAAATCATTTCAATTAGACGAATCAACCATTATCTTCTGAGATAATGAAAACACTTGGTTAATCATCCCATTTCGTTGACCAGACGTGTCCATGTAATTTACTGAATACGTTATGTTTCATGTAGCTATTTTAAAAACAGGAAATAAAATTTGGTTCCGAGGAGTACAGACTAAGAAAAAAAATCCCAATTTTCTATTAACAAACCGCATTAAATGATAGGTACATCAAGCAACGGGCCTAAAAGATATCAGTTGTAATAAGTCGCGAAGTGCGACGAGAGCTGCTACCTTCCATTTCATAGACTGGAAAGAGAAGTCTTGTGGAAGAGCGTGGCGATCTCTCCCTCCGAGACTCGAAGCCAAAGTCCACCTCTTCCAAGAAGGACAAGCTAGTCGGTCGGTTACAGCGCTCCGACGGCGCCGTGCTTCCTCGTAGCGAGACGCGACACAGACAAATGTTTTGCGGGCGCCCACGGCGCGCGAATCGGGGGAACGAGCCGTGTATTCGCGCCGATTATTCACTCCGGGGGGCGGCAAAACCGCCGCACAAGAAGACGCGCGGGTTTGCTGCAGCGGCGGAGAGAGCCGCATCTGCGCTGAGCCAAAAACGCGCGCGGCGCGGCGACGCCTCCCTCACA